ACTGCACAGATAACACACAAGGATTTTAGGCTGATGGGGTTTATTCTTCACTGCAAGGGAATCAGCAGGCACTCTTCTATGAATCTTCCTTCTGCACATTGTTTTTATTATTTTTTTTTATTTTTTTTTTCAACGTTTATTTATTTTTGGGACAGAGAGAGACAGAGCATGAATGGGGGAGGGGCAGAGAGGGAGGGAGACACAGAATCGGAAACAGGCTCCAGGCTCTGAGCCATCAGCCCAGAGCCCGACGTGGGGCTCGAACTCACGAACCGTGAGATCGTGACCTGGCTGAAGTCGGACGCTTAACCGACTGCGCCACCCAGGCGCCCCTGCACATTGTTTTTAGAACGAGTGAGTCCGCCAGCCATCATCATCTTAGGGCAGCAACAAAAAAGAGCGAGCGTCTGAGACCTCAACGCAGAGGCTCCCCGGATAAAACACACAGCCCAGAGGACTTCCTCTACCAGCCATGAGGGAGGAACAGGGCAGAATTTGCCTTCCCATCTTAAACAAGAGTAGAACGGGACCGCCAAATATAAGGCACCTCTTTTTTTTGAGAAACAGAGGGGGAGACAAGGTGTGAGCGAGGGAGGGGCAGAGAGGGGGACACGGAATCCGAAGCAGGCTCCAGACTCTGAGCTGTCAGCACAGGGGCTCGAGCTCACGGACGGTGAGATCATGACCTGAGCTGAAGTCGGACGCTTAACCGACTGAGCCACCCAGGCGCCCCAAGAGTGACTGTGTTGCATTTACATTTCTATTCATCTTAGTTTTTTAAAGAACTTCGATAGTCTGCTTGAAGAAACCATCCCAGGCATTCGGTTGAACCATATGGAACTGCCTTTTTCGCAGGGCAAAACACAGTTGAATAGTAGTGATTTTATGTGATTCAAACCAATGTGTATTCTTCCACGTACAATGCATGTAATTTATAAATAGGGAGTCGAAGTGAAATTTGCACGAGGCTAAACAGGCAAGGAAGACTTTATTTAAGGCTACTGAAAAAAGAGAGAGGCTACCATACAATTAAACACAAGTCGTTGGGGCGCCTGGGTGGCTTGGTTGGTTAAGCGTCCGACTTCAGCTCAGGTCATGATCTCACGGTCCGTGAGTTCGAGCCCCGCATCGGGCTCTGTGCTGACAGCTCAGAGCCTGGAGCCTGTTTCAGATTCTGTGTCTCCCTCTCTCTCTCTGCCCCTTCCCTGTTCATTCTCTGTCTCTCTCTGTCTCAGAAATAAATAAATGTTAAAAAAAAAATTAAAAAAACAAAACAAAACAAAACAAAAAAAACACAAGTCGGGAGGGTGTGTAAGTGCTGGGGTGAGCTGGTGGAAAAGGACCCAAGGACATTAGCAGGGTGGTTGATCCATGGGTCATGTGCAGCACATTGAGTTACTCCTGAGTTTGCGAAGGTTTTTCTCCGCGGTTAGGCCATCTGTGTTTGCTGAGACCCACTGAAGTTAGACACCTGTCCCCTTCCAGAGACTGGGAAAGGGGAGCGCTTTCTTTCATGATGGTTGTATTTCAAAGGAACGCCTCCTAGGTCCTTGAGAAAGACATTCCTTGGTTGTCAACCTGGCAAAAGCCTTTTTAAAGAGATTTCCATCCGCTTCAAAGGGGCAGAGAAACAATTCACCCTTCCAAGTTGTCTAAAGAAAGTGTTCTGTGAAAAGGGAGATGGGGATCTAAAGTCAGGAAGAAGCCTCAAGTTGACTCAAGCTGAAGGGGAGTATTTTTTTTTCTCTTTTTTTTTAAATTTTTTTTTTCAACGTTTATTTATTTTTGGGACAGAGAGAGACAGAGCATGAATGGGGGAGGGGCAGAGAGAGAGGGAGACACAGAATCGGAAACAGGCTCCAGGCTCTGAGCCATCAGCCCAGAGCCCGACGCGGGGCTCGAACTCGCGGACCGCGAGATCGCGACCTGGCTGAAGTCGGCCGCTTAACCGACTGCGCCACCCAGGCGCCCCTGAAGGGGAGCATTTAAGGCCATCTTGGTTGATGGTGAATCTTAAATTCTCTTAGATAATGTACTTCTGGCATATGCATTTTGGAGGATTCCAGCTTAGAAATACAAATCTACATTAATTCATCAAGTGTACGTTTTAAATCAGGATCGGCTACCGGAATCGGCTGATTTCTCTTAAACCTTTCAAGTTCTTGCACTAATCGATGCACAGATTATTCTTTTAAAATGGCAATAATAATACGATAGGGACCCCGGCTGGATTCTTGCCTGTGACATTGATGGGACACTCCAAGTCTATAGGCTGTAGCAAGGACTCCCTAACTTAAAGAAGGGGCTGGCTGTGTAGCCCCCATTCCTGAGACTGTGGTTACATGTTACCCAATTATTATTTCTGGTCCTGAAAGTCCGAGATCCTCTAGCCAGACAGCACAGTTAAACCAAGCCCAGGCCGAGGTGGACACAGTTCCAACGTTGCTATCTTGCACGGGCTTGCATCTCGCTCAGGATGCTCCTTGCAGCAGACAAAGTTGTGATTTTGGCAGGCATTCAGAGCTCAAGTTGTGTCTTTGCCTACAGCTTCTACCCCCAGAGACTTTCAGTGTAGGGAAGAGGCTGCATATAGCCCAGCTGTCTTCACATTAAGAAACACCACCCACATGAAGGGTGTAAAAAGAAAAACAAGACTTTCTGAGACTTTTAAGAAAGTCCATCTTATATTCTCCTAGATTTGTCCTGTATGTACTTTTCTTTCTTCCTTCCTTCCTTCCTTCCTTCCTTCCTTCCTTCCCTCCCTCCCTCCTTTCTTTCTTTCTTTCTTTCTTTCTTTCTTTCTCTCTCTCTCTCTCTTTCTTTCTTTCTTTCTTTCTTTCTTTCTTTCTTTCTTTCTTTCCTTCTTTCCTTTTTAAAGCTTGTTTATTTATTGTGAGAGAGACATGGGGCACCTGGGTGGCTCAGTAGGTTAAGCGTCCAACTCCGGCTCAGGTCATGATCTCACAGCTCATGGGTTTGAGCGCCTCATTGGGCTCTGTGCTGACAGCTCAGAGCCTGGAGCCTGCTTTGGATTCTGTGTCTCCCTCTTCCACTCTGTCTGCCTCTCTCAAAAATAAACATCAAAAAAAAAAAAAAAAACACCTTTGAAAAATGGGCAAAGGACTTGAATGGACATTTCTCCCAAGATCTACAAACAGCCACCAAACATATGGAAAGATACTCTACATCACGATCAGGGAAACGTATATCCAATTCATGACATACCACTGCACACCTGTTAGAATGACTATTACAAGAAACACAAAAGGTAACAAGTGTTGGCAAGGATATGGAAAAAAGGGAACCCTGGTGTGCTGTTGGTGGGAATGTAAACAGGTGCAGTCACTGTGGAAAACAGCATGGTTCCTCAAAAAACTAAAAATAGGTCTACCTTGGGGTGTCTGGGTGGCTCAGTCGGTTAAGCTTCCAACTCTCAGTTTCAGCTCAGATCATGATTTCATGGTTCGAGGGACCAAGCCCCCAATCAGGCTCTGCACCAAGAGCAGACTCTCTCTCTCTCTCCCCCTCTCTCTGTCCCTCCTCTGCTCATGCTCTTTCTCTCTCTCTCAAAATAAATAAATAAACTTAAAAAAAAATAGGTCTACCTTGTGATCCAGCAATCCTGCTTGTGGGTCTATACCCAAAGGAAATGAAGTTATTATTCCAGAGGTATCCGCACTCCCATGTCCACTGTAGCCTTATTCGTAATAACAAAGATATGGAAACAACCCAATGTCTGTTAATGGTTGAATGGATGAGAAAATGTGGCAAATGGGGCGCCTGGGTGCCTCAGTCGGTTGAGCGTCTGACTTCAGCTCAGGTCATGATCTCACGGTTTGTGGGCTCAAGCCCCACGTCGGGCTCTGTGCTAACAACTCAGAGCCTGGAGCCCACTTCGGATTCTGTGTCTCCTCCTCTCTCTGCCCCTCCCCTGTTCATGCTCTGCCTCTCAATAATAAATAAACGTTAAAAAAAAAAAAAGGAAAAGAAAATGTAGCATATATAGGGGCACCTGGATGGCTCAGTCCATATGCATGTGACTCTTGATCCTGGGGTTGTGAGTTCAAGCCCCACATTGGGCATAGAGCATAAATTAAAAAATAAATAAATAAACAAAAACAATATTTAAAAAAAAAGAAAATGGGGTATAGAGAGAGAATGGAATATTATTTAGCTTTATAAAAGAAAGCTATCCAGGCATTTCTAACAACCTGGATGAACCCGAAGGACGCTGCACTAAATGAAATAAGAAAGACACAGAAAGACACACACTGCATGACTCACTTATATGTGGAATCTAAAGTAGGCAAACTCATAGAAGTAGAGAGTGGATTGGTGGTTCCTTGGGGCTGTGGAGGGGGAAAGGGTGAGATGTTGTTCAAGGAGCACAAAGTTTCGGTTACGCAAAGTGATTAAGCTCTGGAGAGCTAATGTATGGTTATGGGAACATAGTTAGCAATTCTACTATATTGTGCACTTGGAATTTCTAAGGAGGTAGATCTTTTTTTTTTTTTTTTTTACATATTTATTTATTTTTGGGAGAGTGCAAGTGGGGGAGGGGCAGAGAGCACGGGACAGAGGATCTGAAGCAGGCTCTGTGCTGACAGCAGGGAGCCTGATGTGAGGCTCAGACTCACAAACTGGGAGATTGTGACCTAAGCCAACTGACTAAGCCACCCAGGTGCCTCCTAAGAGAGTAGATCTTAAGTGTCCTCACCACGCAAGAAAAAGAAAGAAAGAAAGAAAGAAAGAAAGAAAGAAAGAAAGAAAGAAAGAAAGAAAGAAAGAAAGAGAAAGAAAGGGAGAAAGAAAGAAAGAGAAAGAGAGAGAGAAAGAAAGAAAGAAAGAGGGAGAGAGAGAGAAAGAAAGAAAGAAAGAAAGAAAGAAAGAAAGAAAGAGAGAAAGAAAGGAAGAAAAAATAACCATGTGGGGTGAGGCATATGTTAATTAGCTCGGCTGTGATTACTTCACAACATGTAAATATATCAAATATCATGTTGTACACCTCGAATGTATATGTTTTATTTCTCAATTATACCTCAATACAGAAACAAAGATATACCCAAAAAATGGATCATAGTGGATATTAAATTGCTATGGCATTTTGATGTCCTTAGATACATTTGAAAGGGTGATGCGTGAGTTTTAGAAAATTATATCCTTTACAACCATTTTAACGGTGAAAATAATCTTAAGGTCAATTTAAAAAATGTGTACCTAGGTTTTATTTTTTTTTTTAATTTTTTTTTCAACGTTTATTTATTTTTGGGGGGACAGAGAGAGACAGAGCATGAATGGGGGAGGGGCAGAGAGAGAGGGAGACACAGAATCAGAAACAGGCTCCAGGCTCTGAGCCATCAGCCCAGAGCCTGACGCGGGGCTCGAACTCACGGACCGCGAGATCATGACCTGGCTGAAGTCGGACGCTTAACCGACTGCGCCACCCAGGCGCCCCTGTGTACCTAGGTTTTAAAATGGTCTTAGTGGACGCTAGAATAAAACTATCCAAAGACTTTGTCTCTCTGGCCTAGAGACCTGGGACTATCAGTTTCCCCCGCGCGGCAGATGTTAAGAGGGCTTCCTAACCTCACAGGGAATCCACATTTCAGGCCCCACCTTTGTCTCCAAAGAATCTGGCAGTGGAGGGCCGCAGTGCTCATCAGGGTGGAGGCTTCCTCATTGCTTTCCAGAACATTCCATCACAGGCATCTTCATGCTAATCTCTACCTATGACTTCTACTTTATTTCACTGTCAGAAATCCATTTCTAATATCCCAACATTCTAATGATATAAATATTGTCCATTATACTGTAAACTCCATGGGAGCAGGGTTATAGCTGCTAGGCTCACTGCTGGGTCCTCCGCACAGTGCCTGGAACACAGCAGACAGGCAAAAAAATTATTAAATTGAAATAAGAGGGGCAGCTGATTTTGTAGGGGAAGGTTTTTATTTTTTTATTTTATTTTATTTTATTTTATTTTATTTTATTTTATTTTATTTTTTAAGTTCATTTATTTAAGTAATCTGTACTACATTCAACATGAGGCTTGAACTCCGGACCTTGAGATCAAGAGTCACGTGCTCCTCTAACTGAGCCAGCCGGCCGCCCCCAAAGTTATTATTTTAGACGTGCAGTATTGGAGATATGAGATAACAATTCAGGTAAAGCCCACGAGTAAGTCTAACTAATTCATTTTTTGCAGGGTAGCCTTTCTGTGATTTGAAGGTTTTTAAGTAAATCTCTTTTCTCACATCTGTCTTTAAATAAGTCTTCCTACAGAGGAGGCAAACTCTTCCAGAGAGACACCAGGTTTGATTCCAGTTTTTTTTAAATTTTTAATGTTTTATTTATTTTTGAGAGAGAGAGAGAGAGAGAGAGAGAGAGAGAGAGAGAGAGAGAGAGAAGGGAGACAGAGAGAGAGGGAGACACAGAATTTGAAGACAGGCTCCAGCATCTGAGCTAGCTGTCAGCATAGAGGCGGATGCAGGGCTCGAACTCACCAACCGTGAGATCATGACCTGAGCCCAATTCGGACACTTAACCAACTGAGCCACCCAGGTGCCCGTGATTCCAGTTATTTTGCTATGGTATCTCCACAGGTTACTTATCCTTTTGTTTCATCAGTTAAAATAGAAAATTCTACAGCTTGTTGGGAGGAGCTAATGCCTAGAAAAGTGCCAGGAACAAATACTGTCACAGCATGGGCGTTCAGGAAATGGTAGCTGGGAGGTAAGGTTTAGCTGTTACTATCCTGGGTGTTCTTCCCTCGGTTTAACTCCACCGGGCACGGTTCCAGGGTAGACACAGGCCTCTAGGGCTGGGCAGAGCAGAACAAGACTTCACTCCCCCGTTCACACACTTTCCTTCCACATTCACACCTCTCAGTTTGCTTTAACAGGATTTGGGGCTTGACACTGGCAGTGCAGGACATCTCTGAAGGAGGCTAAAGTAAGAGAAACGTGGGAGCCAACAAAGCATCCGGGAGTGGGGGGTAATTATCATTCCCCTGTGAAAGGAGACAATGGAGCTAGACTGGAACGGAATACATTCCATCAAGAAGGGTCGAAGAAGGTTCAGAAGAAAGTAATGCCACAGAAACGTAGGAACTGGAAAAAGATGACCCAGCTTAACCCTTCTCTCTCTCTCTTTTTTTTCAATCTTGGTCAAAACATATAAAATGTACCATCTCAACCATTGTTTTTTAAGTTTATTTATTTTGAGAGACGGAGCACAAGTGGAGGAGGGGCAGAGAGAGAATCCCAAGCAGGCTCTGCACTATCAGCGCAGAGCCCGATGCAGGTCATGACCTGAGCTGAAATCAAGAGTCAGATGCTTATCTGAGTGAGCCATCCAGACGTTCTCATCTCAACCATTTTTAAAAGTTCATTACAACATCACTATAAGCCCATTGTGCAGCAGACTCCTCTAATTTTTTTTAATCTTGCAAAACGGAAACTATCTCTATTGAATAATTCCCCTTTTCCCTCCCCTCCCCAGCCCCTGGCACCCACCACTCTACTTTCTGTGTCTAAGAGTTTGACTGCATGAGACCCCTCTTACAATCAGAATCATGCAGTATTTGTCTTTTTGTGATTGGCTCATTTCACTTGGCAAAATGTCCTTAAGGTTCATCCATGTTGTAGCCAAAGACAGCATTTTTCTTCCTAAGGGCTTAATAATAATCCATTGTATGCATATGCCACATTTTCTTCATCCATTCATTCATCAGTTGATAAACATTTAGGTTGCTTCCACCTCGGCTAATACTGCAATGAGCACTGGCATATAAATACCTCTTCCAGATTTAACTGCATTCTTTTACAGGTAATGGCAACCCTGACTCAGACTGACTGATTAAAGCAGAGCTTCACAACAGTGGCAATGTTGCCACTAGACAAATTTTTTTTTTTTTTCCTGCGGGGAGTGGGTGGGTGACCTGTCCTATGCAATATAGGGTGTTTAGCAGCATGGCCAGCCTGTATCCAGCAGACGCCAGTAGCCCCACCACCCGCCCCCCAAAAAGAAAGCGTATTCATACATTGCCAAATGAGGGTGGGACAAAAGTGCCCGGGTTGAGAACATTGCACCAAAGAAACACTGAGGCCATTATAGATGGGACCCAGTCTGCTCCCATCCAAGAGATGGCAGACGGCTCTACAGAAATACAAAGTCCGGTGCGATTTACAAAGCATTTGCTTTTTAATTCTCAAAAAGGGCAGAGGGCAAAAGGATGTCGTGCAGCACGGAGGGGAAAACTAAAGTAAGAAACTTGCAAAGCCGAAAGCTCCGGCGATGCGCACGGATCTAAGTATCGACCCGGCGGGGCCTCGCAGGGCATGCTGGGGCTTGTAGTTCCGGCGTGAGAGGCGCTGGGCGCGCATTCCCCCACCCAGAGCGACTTCCTCTGTCGGCCGCCTGCCGCCGCTCCCGGAAGCTGAGCAGGTTAAAGTTTCAACGCTTCCTTTCCCCGCCTCTTAGTCCCGCAGACTGCCAACCCGAGTAGCTAATAGGCGGCCGGGCTGGAGCTTTCTCTTATCTGATTGGCCTAGAGTTTTGTAGCGTCGAGACAAACTTACTGGGGATTGGTCGAGTCTTCAGTTTTGAAATTCGTAGGTCTCGCCGCGCTGTAGCGCCCCATCGCTTCTCCGAAGTGGTGAGCCCTGGAGATCCGGAGCCGAGGGTCTGGGTCCGCGGGAGGCTCTGCTGGGGTGGCCGCCGGACTTGGATCAGAGAAGCACTTAGGAGACGCGGTGCAGTCGAGTGAGTGCGCGCGGGGCGGCCGGCGGGGCTGGGGGTGGTTGGCGAGTTTTTACCCTCCCGCCAACTCTGGACTGGGGGCGTGACACCCCCGGCCCTTTGCCCCGCGGCCTGGGAATGGACGGGTCACCTCTTCCAAGTGGTGACCTGCCTTGGTCCTGGGGCCTGAGATGACCCCTTATCCTCCACCTAGGTCACGAGGTTCCGAAAACGTAATCCCCCGCGCCCACCTCCCGGGTGCCTAGCATCCTGTTTTGTGCTAGGAAGCCCTTTGTTGACCTGGACGCGCAGGGCGCGCACACCAACCCGGAGTTATGCCCGATGACATTTCTGTACAGTTAACCCACGCTCCACATCCCCCCCCCCCCCCGAGCTGAGCAACGTTTTAAATTGACCATTTCCGGAGGCCAGTGTTGCCCCTCATTTTGTTCCGCCCCATGGACGTTCACCGTCAGCGGTTCAGTACCATCCGGCGGCCGTGGCCTTTCCTGCAGGCCTTACCTTACAGAGACTGAAATCGAGGAGGTGATATCGCTTGTGGTTAAGAGCACAGTTTAAATCCAGGCCCCGCCCCTGACATACTAGGTGACTTCGACTTAACTTCTCTTTGTCTCAGTTTCCTCATTTGCACATAGGTATCCTCGAGGTTGTAGTGAGAGTTAAATGGGATGATGCCCCACCTGAGTATGGAGACAGGACTCCGTGGAACAGCTGTTTATGATCATGACCATTTCTCACTAAGGTGTGGTAGATGGTTAAGTCTCCGACTTCCTGCACCTCAAAAAACAGGCATTGCAAAGGAGGCCGGTGGAGCCTCTGGTCTGGTGTAGGGTATGAGGGAAGTATTTGGGGAGGAAAGTGAGCTCCCTTCTCCCTTGGTGGGATGTTGGGTGTTCCTGGTTTGTGCACACAGGTTCTTAGATTGGCCGGAGATTTTTTGCTGTTCGTTCTTTACAGGAGCCTCCTTGATATGCTGATCCCTCCTTTCTCAGTCACCTCTTTTCTAACTTACGGTGGTCGTTTTTATTGTATTTGTTCATGTTTTATTTATTTTTGAGAGAGAGAGCTGCCCGTGCACATGAGCAGGGGAGGGGCGGGGGGAGACAGAGGATCTGAAGCAGGCTCGGCACTGACAGCACAGAGCCTGATGTGGGGCTCGAACTCACAAACCATGAAACCATGATCTGAGCCGAAGTGGGTCGCTCAACAGACTGACCCAGGTGGCCCAGTGACCCTTTTCAAATAGCCAAGCTGAGGTGTCTAAGGACAAACTTCCCCATGGAAGAAGCCCAAACACTTTTTTGCACTTTGCAAAAGAAGCTCTCATCAACTTTGCTGTTTTGAACAAATACTTAAAGGGAAGAAAGATAGCAGTTGTTGCTTGTTGTAGCTCTTTAGTGAACCTTTGTCTGGGTTTTGGCTTCCTTAAAACAATTTTCTCTTTCCTGGCCTCCCTCTGGGGTCCCGCACTTTGCCAGGGCTGAGCTCCGGGACAGAGCAGCAGGGGCGGGGGTGGGGGGGGGGGGGCGGCGATGGCAGCGGAGAGGCCATGCCCGTGATTGGCTGGCTTCAGAGCTGTCTCTGTCCAAAGCTTCTGCCGCCCTGCCCAACTGGCCCTGCCCCAATTAGCACTGTCCCTGGCATCTAACCTGTGTATGGCGTGCCCTAACGTGTATAGAATGAACTCTTTTGGTGTCCTTGTGTGTATGCCTGGGAGAAGTACCTGTAGGATGTTTATTTCTAGGTGTAGAGTTGACAGATGGAATTGATTTCACTTAACAAGTATTCCTCTCATGCCAGTCACTGTGCCAGGCTCTGGGCTTTCAGTTGCAAGCAAAACAGACCAGGGTTTGCCCTCAGGGAGCAAATGTTTAGTGGGCAGAGACAGGCTTTGTAAGCAAAGAGATACACAGTCCCCCAAGTGTGATGCACAGAATTGAAATTGACGGATGGGATGGTGAGTTGCTGAGATCCAGGTGCCGAGTGAGCTGTGCAATTAAGAGACAGAAGCTTCCAGATAATAGGGCAGACGTTGGCTTGAGGAACAAAGGCTAGTGTGCCCTGGAAATCAGGCCTCCAGAAGTCTTGTGAAGCTGCCACAGGACCTGGTATTAAGCTCTATAAGGTGGCAAGGGATCAGTGATTAGCTCCTCCTTCCAGGAGCTTCCATCTTAGGTGAGAGGCTGAGCTCTGTCAGCCTGGTTCTTGATTTTCAGGGTGTAGGCCAGGGTGGTGGGTCACTGCCAGGGCATAAGATATGCAATCTGTTATTATGGCTGATGACACATATTCATTCCCCTGTGGGGATATTTACTGAGCCCCTGCTGTGACTGTAATGAATACTTCCTCCTCTGGGGGTGGGGTGGGGGCTTCAATGATGATTTTATAACAACAGCCTTAAGGAGGATGCATGAGTTGCTGGTTTGGGGTTTTTTTGTTTTTTATTTTATTTTTTTAATGTTTATCGTTTTTGAGAGAGACAGAGACAGAGAGCAAGCAGGGAAGGGGCAGAGAGAGAGGGAGACACAGAATCTGAAGCAGGCTCCAGGCTCTGAGCTGTCGGCACAGAGCCCGATGCGGGGCTCGAACTCACAGACCGTGAGATCATGACCTGAGCTGTAGTCGGCCTCCCGACCAACTGAGCCACCCAGGCACCCCTGTGTTTTTGTTTTTGTTTTTGTTTTTTTCAACGTTTACTTATTTTTGGGACAGAGAGAGACAGAGCATGAACGGGGGAGGGGCAGAGAGAGAGGGAGACACAGAATCGGAAACAAGCTCCAGGCTCTGAGCCATCAGCCCAGAGCCCGACGCGGGGCTCGAACTCACGGACCGCGAGATCGTGACCTGGCTGAAGTCGGACACTTAACCGACTGTGCTACCCAGGCGCCCCGTGTTTTTGTTTTTTAAGAGGACATTGGTTTTGGGGCCCCTGGGTGGCTCCGTTGGTTAAGCGTCCGACTTTGGCTTGGGTCATGATCTCACTGTCTATGAGTATTGAGCCCGAGCGTCGTCAGGCTCTGTGCTGACAGCTCAGAGCCTTGGAGCCTGCTTCGGATTCTGTGTCTCCCTCTCTCTCCCTGCCTCTCCCTGGCTCACACTCTTGTCTCTCTCTCTCAAGAATACATAAACGTTAAAAAAAAAAAAAAAAAAGAAAAAAAGGAGGATGTTGGGTTTGTAGATTTTGTATTCTCTTAAAAATAAGACATTGCTTATCTACTTCCCTCTGCTCTCTCATCCATTTCTAAGACCTTTCAGCTCAAGGGAGAGGGTTGTGGGGACTCTTAGGAGACGAGCGTGTCTCTAGACCCCTGCTTTCTTACCAACTCCTTTGGAATGCAGAACCCTGTGTTCACTGGCCTCTTGAAGGAGCAGTTGGAACCCATGTTCTTTGGCCTGATGCCAGGGGTCAGCTTGTGTGTAGCTCAGGGTGGCTGTGTCTGGCCTTTGCCCACCCCCCACAGGTAGTAAGAGGAGAACCCACAGGCCTGTGTTTGGGCAGGTAGGGAGGGGTCCTGTGCCAGCTGCAGTTTCTCCCTGATCCAGGAGAGCAGGTGGCCATGTCTTGTCATTTTAAGCCCCCGAAAAGGCCACTTGTAAGGACTGTTGCTACCAGAATTGGCTGGGAAGTGTGGACTTCTGGGGGCAGCGTGCTGTGGGTGGGCGACGAGCATTTTCTTTTTTGCAAAACTGACTGCCGGTGGGTTGGCGTTTGGAATTCTGCATCTCTGGGTGGAGGGGAGGGGCTGTGGGCAGGAAGGGGCTCTGATTCAGGTACTGGGTGGTTGTGGTCGTCGGCGATGGGCGCTGCGGCCCGGCAGGCCCTTCCCCTGCGCCAGGTTCCAGCCCCCAGCCCTGAGCCCTTGTGCCTCTTGTCTGCTTTCACCAGACAGAGCCACCATGGGGTCCACAGCCCTGGGGCCCATTCACCTGCTGGAGCTGTGTGACCAGAAGCTCATGGAGTTTATCTGCAACGTGGACAATAAGGACTTGGTGTGGCTCGAAGAGATTGAGGAGGAGGCCCAACGCATGTTCACCAGGTAAAGGCAGGGCCGAGCTGGCAGGGGGCGCGGTGGGGACACAGCAGCCTGCTTCCCCACCTGACTTGCAAGACAGACAGGCTGCCGGGCTTTCCCCCAGAGTGCCTGGTGCTGGGGGCCGCCCTCACGTGATGGGAAGGGGAAGGAGAGGTGCTGGGCTGGCCCTCGGGGTGGCGCTGCGGACCCTTGCCTGGTAGCCTTGCTCCTCTCTGCGTCTCCGGGAGGAAGCCCTGCAGGCCTGGCACGGGGCTTCCACGTGGCCTAGGAGACCTTGGTGCTGGTCATCCGAGCTTGACTTGTCACTGCCAGGAAAGGGCCGGGGCCAGGCTGGGTTGGGGAAGTGGGCTGGCGGTTCCCGGGCAGCCATGAACATCACTCGCCTCGTACCAAACAGTGAATTCAGCAAGGAGCCCGAGCTGATGCCCAAAACACCTTCTCAGAAGAACCGACGGAAGAAGAGACGGGTTTCTTACATTCAGGATGAGAACAGAGACCCCATCCGGAAAAGGTGGGAGGAGGGTCAACTAGGCCTGTTGGGTCTGGAGGCTTGGAGCCCGTCAGGAGACTTAGATCCGCAGGGGTTAACTGGGAGCAGAGGCCGGCGGGAGTAGTAGTGGGTACCCTGTGGGCCGTGCTGAGGGGTGAAATGCCCCAAGGAAACAGTGTGACCCAGGACCGTGGAGTCCAGAGTGTGTGTGTGTGTGTGTGTGTGTGTGTGTGTGTGTGTGCGCGCGTGTGTGTGTGCATGTTCACGTATGTGTGCTTGGGCCTTGGAGTTGGGAAGGATTTTTCAGAGGTGGGAGAAGAAAGAGAATCCATCCTTCCGCGTGGGTCAAAGCAGCCAGAGGTATGGACCAGGGGCTCTGCCTGTTGCTGCACTTGATAACGTCCATGGAAATGGCCGTGGACTGCGGTGTGCTGGGGGAAAGAGGCTGGGTCTTGGGGTCAGGTGGTCCAGGGTACGCATTCTAGCTCTGCCTCTGCACAGCTGGGTGTCCTCTGGTTCATTATCTACCTCTAAGCCTTAGTTTCCTCATCTCTAAGGTGAGGAGGATGGTCCCTGCCTCTCAGGGCCACCTTGTGGAGTAGAGCCTCCAATGAGATGCTTGGCACAGTGTGACCTCAATCAGCGGGAAGTTTGTAATGACTTTAGTCTTCCCAGCAGTTCTGTGAGGTCTGGTAATATCCCAGTTTATAGGCGAGGAGGCTCAGGCTAAGAGAGGAGCGGCCACGGGTCTCGGCTGGTCTTCTGCCTCCAAGCCCTCCGGTTCCTACTCCATGTAAGCTAGTGGCTCCTGGGGAGACTGGTGCCCCCTGCTCGATTTTCGGGGGGTACCCCTTGCCCCGTTGGGTTGTCTCAGCCTCTGCTCTGCTGCCTCCAGCAGGTTGTCCCGCAGAAGGACCCGGAGCAGCCAGCTGAGCTCCCGGCACCTCCGCAGCAAGGACAAGGTGGAGAAGCTGGCCACGGTGGTCGGGGAGAACGGCTCCGTCCTGCGGCGGGTGACCCGGGCTGCGGCCGCGGCGGCGGCAGCCACCGTAGCATTGGCTGCTCCTTCGCCCACCCCCGAGTCTCCCACAGTGCTGGCCAAAGAGCCTGAAAATAGCCTGGCCCAGGGCCCGCTGGTGCCTGTGGTGGAGATCGGCGTCAGCGAGCGCCAGAGTGCTGAGCTGCACCTGGGCCGGCTCAAGTCTGCCCGGGCTCCTTCCCCAACTCCGTCCCTTGTAGCCACGGCTCCCGCCTCCCACAGCATCTTGATATCCGGTGAGGAATCAACACCCCAGAAGCCGGAGGCTGGGAGACTGGCGTCTGTCACCGTGAGCTCTCTGATGGCTACACCCCAGGACCCCAAGGGCCGAGGGGGCGGAGCCAGCCGGTCCGCCTCCAAGCTCAGGATTGCGCAGGCCTCCCCGGGCCCGCAGGATTTGGCGGGCTCTCCGGCCTCGCCGTGGCAGGAGCGGGTGCTGGCTCCCGTCCTGCCCGATAACTGCTCCACGCCCACGGGCGCCCACATAGACCCGCAATCCGTGCGGCGCAGCCTGATTGCCCCGTCCTCCCCGGGCCGCAAGGTCTCGCTGGCCCAGAAGTACTCCCTGGTGGCCAAACAGGAGAAGCCTGTCCGCAGGTCAAGCAGAAGGATTGGCAAGAAAGCCACTGAAGAGCCAGCTGCCTCCGCCCGTATCATCTGTGAGTCTGGGGGCCCAACAGGAGGTAGGGGTGTGGTGAATGGTCCTTGGTGCCTGGCTTAGCTGGAGTGGCTCTGGGGAACCATCTAGCAAGGAGCTGTCCCTAGAACTTTTTGCGATGCGGTAAATGTGCCATATCTATGCTGCCCCATCTCAAAACCACCGCTAGCTGCGTGTGGCTGTTGAGCCCCCAAATGTGGCTCGCGTGATGGAGGAACTGAATTTTTTAGAGTTACTACATTTTATTGAGTTTAGTGGCTATCGTATTGGACAGGGCAAATCGGGAAAACAAATTAGGAAACCGAGGTCTAGGGAGATTGGCCACAGTGTGGTTAATGGCCATGCTGAGGCTCAAACCGAGGCCTTTGACCCAGGGCCAGCATGTCTGGCTTTCTTCCTGCAGAGGCTCACGGACATTGGCCGCGTTTGTGGCCTCCTGATAGCAAACTGCTGTGCTGGGGATATTGCGGGGAAGAGATGTAGATTGTCATGGCAGCAGGCTCCTTTAGGGACAGAGAACTGGATTTAGTGCCAGCTCAGCAATTCACCTGCCCTGTGACCTTGAGCAGGTTACAGAAAATTCTTTGTGTGGGCCTCAGCTGTTACGTGAGCCATTTTTGTCATCCTCTGGTCCCAGCTCAGGGGACCGTGGTTGCGGTGGGAGCAGGTGCGAGGAGCCACGGAGGAGGATAGGCAGCTCTAAGAGTCAGGGCTGGCTGTGTGGAGGAGGTGGGGTCTGAGCCGGGAGGCTTTCGAAGAAGGATGGCTGGGCTTTCGGCAGGTAGAAAAATTGTGGGGAAAGGTATCCCTGGCCGAGGGAACAGCTTGTGCGAAGACCCAGAGGAATGAAATGGCAAGAGATAGGGTCTCTTGGGCTCATGTGCCGTACAAGGGGCTTGGGCTTGACCCCATTGATGCAGAGGATGTGGCCCCTTGATGGTCGTTGAAAGGTCCCTGGCACTGTGGGGAAAATGGCCAAAAGGAAGGGAGAGAAGGAGGCAGGGAGACCAGGGAGGAGGCTGTCTCCAGGGTCCAGCCAGAGGACAGTGAGGCAGTGGGGCTGTTGGAGAAGAAGGTCCAGGTTTTAAGTTAGTGGGTATTAGAACAGTAGGCAACATCTGCCTGGCACTTCCAAGATTTATAAAACACTAGGTTCTCATTTGGCCCTTGCGAAACACTGTTAGCCTGTTAGCATTTCCCCACTTGACACAGGAGGAAGCTGAAGCTTACAGTGGCCACTGAATTTGTAACATTGGGAAACCGGGGCTTGAGCCCC